ATTAGTCTGTGTGGTTTTGTTCTTTTTATCACTTTGGCCTACTGGTGCTGGCTCACGCTGCTCCTAACAAGTTACTCTGCTGTACATTCATGGGGGGGATCTTTTGTTAATAAGCCCACTTGCCCAACAATTACTTCACACTAAGGATGTCATGTGGCTGGAACTGTGTCCATTTCTTTTGGGGATGTGATTTGGGAAGGAGAGGGAGTAAATCTCATCACTCTTTACACCTGAAGAATGTCTGCCCGAAGAGAGCCTCATGGAAGTACCATAAAACCTAGTTGATACAGGAATGCCCTGGGGAAAAAGTAACTACACAGATAAAGAACTCCAAAGCCGTGAAGCAAAACAAATCTAACTTCGAACCAGTGAGTCCATCAGCCTGAATGGCAAACCTCCTCACCCTCCAAATTTCAACAAGTGATATGGTGAAGAATTGCAGTATGACCCAGATTTTGGTAAGAATATGTTTGCCACTCATCATTAATGTATTGACCTTTCCTCCTAGTGTGACTTAACCTTTTTTGAATTGTGTCAGAAGCAAAGTGAGAAACCAAGTCGCTTTTGGTGTGAGAGAATCAGCTGCCTACAAAGATGTTGCCCAGGGGATGCCCAGATGTGTTACCATTCTGCTGGGAAGGTGCTCATGTTCCGGGCATGGGAAGCTGAGGCTGACAAATGGGAGCTCATCCTGTCTCGTGGATTCAACTGTTCAGCTGGTACAAGTGTTTGACGCATTGCAATTAATCAATTAATCATTGATTAATAGATCAATGATTAATTCACATTTACATATGAAATGGGAATAACCTGCTCTTCAAAGAACCTGATATTTAATGGTGGTCAGTATTAATTTTAAAGACTAATGCAGAAGGATCAGAATAGAGCACAACCTCCAGAACGCTGAAGTTGGGAAAAATGCCGACATATACCTCTATCTGTATTATTTACAACATGTATATTCCAAAGGCGGAATAGAAATGCTGTAAATAAATGAAGAAATTTACTTCTTCAAACAACCTGATTATTTAATGGTGGTTGGTATTAATTTTAATGGCTACTGAGGAAGGATCAGCTGGAATACTCACAGATCCTTTCTTGGCATGTATAATGTTTGTGTTAGAATAGGGTAGGTGTGGTCTATAAAGACAGATAGGGGGGAAAAAGAGAAAATTGGAATGGAAGAATCAGTAAGGAATACTTCAGCACACTTTATTTATTTATTTATATTATTATTATTATTATTATTATTTATTTATTCAAATTATTTATAGCCTGCTTTATCTCCCAGAAGGGGATTCAAAGTGACTTAACATAAAAACATTAACACACCATTAAAATATACAAATATTAAAACAGAATTAAATGTAAACAGTATTAAATACTTTGCAGTTAAAGCTATTCAAACATATTTGCATTATATATCCTTCAAGCTAAATTAGTTATTTCTGTATTATATATTTTTTAAAAGTCATCTGAAAATGTTTTTATTAAAAACTAAATAATTTGCTTGAGATATAACTTGTTAAGCTTAAGCATAATTGCTCTGTTGCTGTCACCAGATGCTTCTCGATTGCTGAACTGTTGTGACAATTTCCCCAACCTTCTAAAGTGGGATATATAGAAGGTTGGGGAAATTGTCAAAAAGGAGAAAGCATTTATAAAAGGTAAATCAGCCGTAACTGCTGTCACAGCAGTTCAGCAATCGAGAAACATCTGGTGACAGCAACAGAGCAATTGAGCTTAAGCTTAACAAGTTATAGAAGACTTTATTCAAAGAACATCACTAGATAGGAAAGTTAACAAGGCCTAGCTATCCATCTAACCCACAGCAGACATGGTCCCATGCTCATTGAAGAAGAGAACAGCTGCTTTGAGTCTCGTTTTTTAAGTCATCCCTCTCAATGACAGTTCAGTCTCCTCATGGTTTGGATGAGGGAAAAGGAGGACATTTAAAGGGTTGTTTCCCCCTGTGTGTTTCACTTGATGAAGATGGAGAGTTCTCTTCTGTTTGAAACTTCTTCCACACTCCAAGCATTTAAACGGTGTTTCCCCAGTGTGGATTCTTTGATGTTCTGTGAGGTGTGCCTTCCGTGCAAAACCCTTCCCACACTCCAAACACTGAAATGGTTTCCCCCCAGTGTGGATTCTTTGATGTTGTATGAGGTTTGTCTTCCATGTGAAGCCTTTCCCACACTCCAGACATTTAAATGTTTTTTCTCCAGTGTGGATTCTTTGATGTTCTGTGAGGATTGTCTTCTGTGCAAAGCCCTTTCCACACTCCAGGCATTTGAATGGTTTCCCCCCAGTGTGGATTCTTTGATGTTGTGTGAGGTTTCTCTTTGATGCAAAGCCCTTCCCACACTCCAAACATTCAAATGGCTTTTCTCCAGTGTGGATTCTTTGATGTTCTGTGAGGTGTGGCTTCCTTGCGAAGCCCTTTCCGCAGTCCAAGCATTTGAATGGCTTTTCCCCAGAGTGTGTTGCTTGATGAGCAATGAGACATCTTTTTCCTGTAAAAGAGCTTTCGCACTCGAAGCATTGAAAGAGTTTCTCCTCCGTGTGAATTGTTTGGTGAGAAGTGAGAGTTCCCTTCAGAATAAAAGACTTTCCACATTCTAAGCATGTAAATGGCTTCTCCCCAGTATGGGTAGCTTGATGATAGGTAAGGCCTGTCTTCTGATTGAAGCCCTTTCCACACTCCAAGCATTTAAATGGTTTCTGCCCAGTATGAATAGCTTGATGATAGGTGAGTTTTATCTTCTGAAAGAAGCCCTTCCCACACTCTAAGCATTTAAATGGCTTCTTCCCAGAATGGACTGCTTGGTGATAGGTGAGGCCTATCTTCTGTTTGAAACTCTTTCCACACTCCAAGCATTTAAATGGCTTCTCCCCAGAATGGACTGCTTGGTGATAGGTAAGGCCTGTCTTCTGTTTGAAACTCTTTCCACACATCAAGCATTTAAATGGCTTCTCCCCAGAATTGATGGCTTGATGATAAGTGAGGTGTATCTTCTGAATGAATCCCTTTCCGCACTCCAAGCATTTAAATTCTTTCTCTCCGGTGTACGTTGCTTGATGATGACCAATACTTTTCTTCTGACGGAAACATTTTCCACACTCCAAGCACTTGAAGGGCTTCCTCTTAGTGGACGCTGCTTGCTGACTAGAGAGACACAGCTCCTTACTCTCTCCACAGTCCTGGTATTGAGATGATTCCCCTTCTCTGTGAGCTGTTTGACAACAAAGAAAATGAGAACACATATTTTTTTAAAAATGAAATCTTAATAGGTATCATTAAAGTGCTCATCAGCAATTTAGGCAATCATTCCCATTGCCGAACTTCTCTTATTTATTTATTTATGACATTTATATCCCGCCCTTCTCACCCTGAAGGGGACTCAGGGCGGCTTACAAGTTGTATGTACATACAATATATTATATTTTAGCATAGCACTATATTAATATTATATATTACTATATTGTACTATATTATACTATACCACTATACTGCAATATTATTAGTAATATTACATGTAATACAAAATATATAATTATTATATTATATTGTAATATTAGTATTATATTGTATTACAATATTATGATCAATATTATATATAGTAAGGTAAAGGTTTCCCCTGTCATTAAGTCTAGTAGTGTCTAACTCTGGGGGTTGGTGCTCATCTCCATTTCTAAGCTGAAGAGCTGGCGTTGTCTGTAGACACCTCCAAGGTCATGTGGCCGGCATGACTGCATGGAGCGCCATTACCTTCCCACCGGAGTAGTACCTATTGATCTATTATTTATTTATTTATTTATTACACTTGTACCCCACCCTTCTCCCCTCTAAGGGGGGACTCAGGGCGGCCTCACAGCAAGCACCATCTGGTGCCATCACAATCATAAAAACATTCAACAAATTCATTAAAAGCATTAAATAAACAATTGTTAAAAACACACCAGTTAAAATCAAAATCTGGGTCAGTTCATTGTCGCTTTGAATTGCTTACGTCTTCTTCTCCCTTGCTGCTATTCAATCATCAAACGCTTGGTCCCACAACCAAGTCTTGAGTTTCCTTCTAAAGGATAGGAGGGAGGTGGCCAATCAGATGTCCCTGGGGAGGGAATTCCACAGACGGGGGGTGGAGGGGGTGGCACTGCTGAGAAGAAGCTGGAGCTAACAGTGGGAGCTCACCCTGCTCCCCAAATACAAACCTGTGACCTTTCGATCAGTTAGTTCAGCAGCTCAGCATTTTAACCCACTGCGCCACCGGGGGCTCCAAAATTATATGTATATACACTATATTGTAATTATTAGCATAGCACAGTATTAGTATTATATTGAGTTTATTTATTTGTCATGTCAAGGCAACCAGTCAATTGTATTACATTTTTAACAGAACAAAACAAACAGACAGACAAAACACAAAATTTGCAAGCTTGCAACTACCAAACTTACCAATTATATTGAGTGACCTTGGGCGAGTCACACAATATCCGCCCCAGAAAACTCTGTGATAGGTTTGTCTAAGGTGTGCTATAAAATGGAAATGATTTCAAGGTACACAACTATGACAACAAGAACAATGGAAAAACAAAATGATAGAAACAACCAGTTTGTTTTTCAACCTGTTTCAACACTGTGTTGATTCCAAAAATGACACCTGGGAGTTTCTGTCGCCCTCCACATCATGTCGGATCAACTTCAGGATGCCGAAGGTGGATGCCGACACAACACACTTTTGTCTATCTGTTTTTCCTGTTTCAACAGCACTGAATGTTTGCCGTGTATGTGTTCTGTGATCTGCCCTGAATCCTCTTGGGGAGATAGGGCGGAATATAAATAAAGTATATAGTTGAATGGTAAATTTAATGTTATTTCGTCTGCTGTGAACCTATGCCAAACCTGGGGAGTTCTCCTCCCCGCACCCTTTTTAAACGGCATTATGTGGCTATGTCATGTTGTGATTAATACTTCCTTATATAAGAGGGAACCTTACTTAAAGAGGACACCATCTCCAGATTTTCCTCCATGACCTCCTGATGCAAGGCCCTTTGGTCCGGATTCAGCAGGGCCCACTCCTCCTCACTGAAGGACACGGCCACCTCTTGGAAGGTCACCTGGACAGAGAAACATGATTGGTAAGCAGGACACGCTGACCCCAGACAGAAAACCCGTTGCTTCTGGTGGCTGATACAGATGTCTATCTTTACGCAGGTATTTTGCTGCAGGCATCTTGGGTGGAAAGTGGGGAAAATGGCAATGCAAAGAGGACGCCGGGAGCCTGAGCCCTTCTTGGCCCACCAGGGATTCTCTCACCTACCTGACCTGGTGTCACAGAAGGTGCGCTGCGTGCATCAGAAGGAAGAGGTAAGCCAGTATGTGTTGGTTCTGATTCACCTCCTGCAGGAATAGAAGAAACAAGAGTGTATTATTGGCCATGGTCTCCGTTTCTAGTGGTACCATCTTCCTAATGGTTAGAGCTGTTCAACAATGGAATACACTGCGACTTGAGAGTGTGGTGGAGTCTCTTTCTCTGGAGGTTTTCAAACAGAGGCTGGATGGCCATCTGTCAAGAGTGCTTTCAATGTGTATTCCTGCATGGCAGGGAGCTGGGACAGGATGGCCCTTGTGGGCTCTTCCAACTCTAGGATTGTGTTTATTTTATGATAATATTTTCAATCATGGAAGGCAAGACCTAAGCAAGGCCGGGGATGAAGAGGTGTTGTTGTTGGTAAGTGTCTTTAGGCCACTTTGACTGATGTTGTTGTTGTTATCGTTGGTAAGTGCCTTCAGGCAAACTTTGACTGATGGAGATTCCATGACTGAGGGACCTCCAAGCCAGATCTACTCAGGTCTTGGAGATTCGGGACAGCCAGGGCTTCCTTGGTGGAGTCCATCCCCCTGTAATTCAATCTCCCTCTTTTCCTGCTGCCTTCTCTCTTACTAACACTTATTGTCTTTTCTAGTCAGCCCTGTGTAATTATGATATGGCCACATTACAACTTCGTTAGTTCAGTCACCTTGGCTTCTAGGAGGAATTCAAGCATGTATTTGTCAGGAATATTAAATATTAACTGGCTATTTTTGATTACAAAAGTGTGAGTCAAACACTGTCAGAGTGAGTAGGCCGAAGCCTGTTAAATTAGTGGGCCAAAGCTAGCATCGCCCTGAGGAGAGTGGGTAGGCCGAAGCCTCAGTTGGTGTGAGGTAAACTTCTGTGTAAGGGAAGCCTTGTGAGGGAACTCCAGTATAGAGACTGCGGCGTGTAAAGCTAAAATGGATTTGTTTATTGGTGTTATAGAAACCTTGTTATTGTAAAGAGTGCAACTATATTATTTTACTACAAAGAAATGCCTCCTATGGAAGGGATAACATTGGCCTGTTATGTCTTCCATAGGGCCGGAGGTTTAGCACGCCGGAGGTTTAGCACAGCTAGTAAATCATCAGCAATTATAAGATTTATCAACCAAAAGGTTGCAAGTTTGAAGCCCCAGGTTGGAGTGAGCTGCCAACTGTCAGCCTAGCTCATTGTTTACCTAAGCAATTTGAAAACAGCTTTAGGTGTGACTAGAGAAATTAGGTACCGCTAAAAAATCAGGGGATGTGTTTTACAATGCCATAAAGAAGGAAGATCAGAGAATGCTGGGAGACCAAGAGGAAGGAGGAAATCCTGATGACTCTTTGTCTTAGAGCAGTGGTTCTCAACCTGGGGTTCCCAGATGTTTTTGGCCTTCAACTCCCAGAAATCCTAACTGGTAAACTGGTTGAGATTTCTGGGAGTTGTAGGCCAAAAGGAAGGAGGAAGTCCTAACGGCTCTTCGTCATAGAGGATGGAGCAACAGCAACCCCTGGACTCAAGCCCAACCTTCCATGGCACCTCCTGTTCTGTTCTGTCTGTGTATTGTCTATACAAAGCGGCACTGAATGTTTGCCGTGTATGTGTACTGTGATCCACCCTGAGTCCCCTTCAGGGTGAGAAAGGCGGAATATAAACAAGTGTTATTATTATTATTATTATTATTATTATTATTATTATTATTTTGTCACTTTGGGCTACTGGTGCTGGGTCATGCTGCTGCTGCTAATAAGTTGCTCTGCTGTGCATTCATGGGGAGTGTATTCTGTTATTAAGCCCACTTGCCCAATAGAATTTGGCCAGCGGCATCCACACAATTCTCCTCCAGCACATTTCTCCACTGTGCAGCTTTCAAAGTCATACATAGAAAAGGGTACCTTGCGGCCTTTCATTAATTAGCCGAAGCACGTTGAGAACAGTTGACATCAGCAACAACCTTTGGCCTGGAGACTTCAGCCCTTTTATACACCCTGATCCCCATTGGGCTCTTTGCGGAATTTATTCCCA